TTGGGGCTCCAAAAAGGGCATTGAGGGGCGGGAGCGTGGCCAGAGAAAGGCAATGGAGCTGGGGAGGGGTCTGGAGCATTCGAATGATGGGGAGCGGCGAGGGAGCTGGGGGGTTCAACTGGAGAAGAGGAGGTGAGGGGAGACCTTATTCCCTCTGCAGCTCCTGAAAGGAGGGAGTAGTGAGGAGGGGTCAGTCTCTTCTCCCAAGAAACAAGTGATGAGACGAGAGGAAATGGCCTCAAGTAGTGCCAGAGGAGGGTTAGGTTGGATCTGAGGAAAAAATTACTGCATCAAAAGGGTGATCAGGCACTGGAAGGGGCTGCTGAGGGACATGGTGGATTCACCATCCCTGGAGGGATTTAAAAGCTGGGGAGATGAGGTACGTACAGACGTGGTTTAGTGGTGGACAGGTTATGGTTGGACTCGATGATCTTAAAGGTCTTTTCTGACCAGATGATCCAACATGATGAACCAGCAAAGCCCCCAGCAAGGCCAAGGACACTCTGTGCAGGGGCTGCTCATGTCCCTTGCACTGCAGATGCCCACATGCGGAGCCAAAACATCCCCACATCCCCATTGCACATCCAAAACAAACCTTTCCACCCAGAAAAAGACTGCAGCTGGGGCCACCAAAGGGGCTGCCCAAGAGACTCCTCATTTCCATGGGAGCTGCACGCACACGTCCCTTCGGTGCCTTTGAACACACCATCCAGGAAGGACTCTCGGCGACTTTTTCGCAGCCCATAATTACTGCGGCGCGTGGACTTCCTTCGCTTACACAGGGCACCGAGACAAGAGACGGATGATTTGGACTGAGAAAGCCTTGGGCTAAGGGCAAGACGGCTCCAAAAAGGACTTGTCACGAAGTGAATAAACCTGCCGAAAGAGGTGACGCTTTTCTGGCACAACCAAAGGGCGAAGGGACGAGCAGGGGTGCTGGGGTGGCCTGGGGAAAGGTGGCTGAATTCAGCCAGGCTCGTGGCCCGAAAACATAAATCCCATTTCCTGCTCTGCTGCACAGCCTCTGCCCCAGCCATTCCTCCCTTTGCTCTCTGTTTATGCCACGAGTAAACCCGAGGGAAAATGAACAGTGGCATGAGCGGAAGCGCTGGCAGGGAATGCATTTTTAGGGAGTCATATCTGCGTAAGTGAAGGGCCCAGCAATCTTCGTTTTTCTTCATGCAAATCTGGCATCTACGACTTGGGTTCCAGCTTGCTGGGAATTCAGGTGAGCGCCCACACGCTGAAATAAACACAGATTAAATAAGTTAACTTTTAATGGAGAAGAAGGACTATTTCTCACTGATGTGAAGCAGAATGTTGATCTCCGGCTTACAAACCTCTGAGAAAATTTTCTACTTCTATTTTCACCAGAAAAACCCGAGGCCAAAAGGTGAGTTTGTTATTTACATCTCTGATTTTCTGACAAAAAAATTTTCTCATTGTCACAGGATAAAACGCAGAGAAAGCTCGTGATTTCCCAGTTGACGCCAACATTTTGAGAGCTACAAAGTACAAAGAGAAGAAAGCTCTCTCTACACTTATCTTATTTTCCGTAACTGAAGATGATGAAACCAAAGTTTCACTGCCCTGAACTACAACGCCCTTTCGAACGTTGAGTGATCCACCTCAAGATTTTAGGACCCAAGCGGGCGTCAGAGAGCGGGTAAGCGGATTAATACCATTTTCATAAGCTCCATAAATCCAGTTCCTGGGCAAGCTTCAGCTCAAGTAGCCTTCAAGTAACTCTAATATTCACTTTGGTGCTTCCAGTGCGGGTAGCAAAAATATTAACCCGATGATAGCATCGTGCCCTGTCATCCAAATGCTCTTAATTGGCATCCAGAAAGCCCTTTCATCCCGGAGAGACACGGTGCCAGCTGGGACGTTGTTGCGGGGGGGTATTATTATTCCCAATTAAGCACAGGGGAAACCGAGGCACACTGCGTTGCGGTCACTTGGTGTGGTGTGAGTCACAGCCAGGGTCAGAGCCACCTCCAAAACAAGCTCTGTGCTCTGACGGCCGCTCCATCACTGCCCAGTGTGGTCCTGCACCACCTGGGAGGATTTTCCTAACAACCCGCCCTGGTTTTGGCTCCTATGGCAAAGCCGTGGCGATGTGGCAGCTCCTCGAAAGGCCAAACTGTTGCTCATTTCTTGGGGACCCAAAATGTTGGGTTGCGAGAGCGTCTCCGGCTCTGTAAGGTGAAAAGAGGACCATGGCCAAAGCATCATCACTGACCACTCAGAAGGAGGCGTGAAAAGGGGCTGCTCCCCTCATCACACCCCAGATGCCACCTTGACATTGCTGGATGCCACCCCGCTCAGGTCCCAGACACCACCTCGGCTCGTGGTGGCACCCTGAGGTCACCAAGCAAGGGTGGAGCAGGGCAGGATGCGGGGCAGCGTCTCGGCCCCGGTCACACCCTCCTCTCCATATTGCAACACTTGTTTTTTGCCCTCCAAATACGCAGGATCTACTTAGCGTGTGCTACTACTCATTGTCTTAATGATAGGGCAGATTACAGGATTTTGGTCTTTTTCAGACAGGAGTGCACTGTGTTTAATAAAGAAGAACCACCAGAGGGCAAAAAGACAAGATATTTCATCTGAGGTCAGACAATATATTTATTTAAGTATATATATATATGTATAACACAGGTATACATATATCTATAGCTTGGTTTCAGTACAGTGTAGAGTACACATCTTCAGGCAGCATAAAGCAAGCAGTTAATGGCTTTTATAGCTCAAACATTAATAAAACAGTCGTGCTACAACTTTCAGTGTTATTTCAAAGACTTTCTTCTGTTTCAAGTTCTGTTCTCGGTATTCGTTAAAGCGACCAAGTGACAAAAAACTTCCACGTATTAAAA